TTACGGAGTCTTGGCACTATTGAGGTGAACGAAGACGTAATGACACGTGCACGATGTCTGATGCGTGAACCCTGTCGTGCAAGAAAAACCCGACGTAAAGCATCTACCTTATCGGGCCGCTAAAAATAAATTAATACATAAATCAGTAAATAAACAAATAAATAATGTCAAAAAAAGTTATTTGCATTTTTAGTATAGTATTAAACAAACTTATCTCATTGTATAGAGTATGAACCTCATTCTGCAACGATGCAACAATCTCACGTAGAGCGACTATCTCATCACGTAAAGTAGATACCTCACCACGTAAATCACCATTGTCATCGCGTAAAACCTCTACCTCACCACGTAAAGATCGTACCTCATCACGACATGTACAATTGTCGTCACGTAAAGTACCGACCTCCTCACGCAAAGCATTGACCTCATCACGTAACTCCCCTAACTCATCCCGTGGAGGTGGAGAACGGAGAGATAAATGTCGTGGCATCCTTGCCGGTCGCCTATCATGAGGTGATGGTGGAGAAGAGGCTCGATGATGTGATGGAATAGGTGATGGTTCTCGTTGTGGAGGTGATGGCTCTGGGTGTCGAGCTGTAGAATCGGCTCGATCAGGTGATGGCTCTCGAAGTGGGGCGTGCTCATCATCCGTGCCATAAAAAAAACACTGACTAGCTTGCCACCAGTGGCAAGCTCAACCTCTGTGGGTATCAACCTCTGTAATGGATAGTTGGCCTCCTAACAATATAAAAGCTCAAATAAAGTTAAACGTCTACTAGTAATAACTTGTTTATATATATGGTAGTATTTGTGTTAACTTACATCATTCATCGTCGTATATGGTAGTAACTCTTCCCAATCCAACAGCTGGATCCTCCTCCAAGAAATAGCCCTAGGAATATCATTTGAATTTTTGATTGTATATGTCCGCATGCTGGGAAAAGCCTCAAATATCCAAATCTACAAACAATATAATACACAAACATTAGTAATTGTTAAATAATTAATTATAATTTTGTAAATATTATATAGAAATTCTTACCTTAAAGGCCCAAATAAAGCCTGCCAAAGTGTATTTGGAACCATTACCACACAAACTTTTTCGGTCCTCAAAGGCAGACGATAACTTTTCCCATGTAGCTTTCCATAGATATGAACCCCACGGAAACACGTTCCATGTATTTAGGTCCTCTACCAATAATATTAGGTCCTCAGAAATAGGTTGTCTGGCCTCTTTGCCTAAAAAGTTGGCATGCAAAAGTAATAAAAGGCATACTCGGACAACATCGAGGTCATCCATCCGAGTAAAACCATCTTTAACAAGTAATCTTTTCAAGTCGTCGACGTGTAAACTCGGCTTCGCCTTTGCTAGCTCAGGAAAAACCCGAGATAACCATGATGGGCGGACGATATGACTAGTGTACCAACCTACTTCATCGTGTCCGAAGCGTAGACCAGTGATTAAGCAAAACTCCTCCCGCCCAAAACAAGGTATACGCCAGAGGAAAATGAAACCATATCTCTTCATCACCACGTTGTATCCTCTCGGGTAGATCGTTAGTCATGGTCTGAAGAAACAAATGGATCAATATAGCATCTCCACCTGGATGTTGTACTTTCAGCCATGGCCCGAAGCAAGTATCCTCAAACAATTTTCTTTGTACAGGTGTAAGCGTCGACGCAATTGTAGTGGCTAGGCTTAATTTATTCCTTAAGGTCAAAGAAACCGAAAAAAATTTCTACAAAAACAATAAACATACCAAGTTAGATATAACAAAAACTACAAATTATACACTATAAACAGACATGATATTAAACAGTGAAAAAAAAGCCAAATATGTTTCAAACTTGCATGGTATTCACACAAGTTATTATTCTATCATAGTTCACAAAATGCATCAGATAAATTCCAGAAGTAAGCACTTATATGAACATTTAAAAGGACAACATATAGGTTTAGTGCAGGTTCAAGGACAACATAAAGAGTAGTAGTTTATTCTTGAAACTTAAATTCACAACACTGTAAAGTTAGTATTTGTCTTTGTTTTTTGGTTGGAGTAATACAATTCATTCAAGTTTTAATTTGCAGAAGAAGAATAGTTTCAAATAGTCTTCTGCAAATTGAAACTTGAATGAATTGCATTACTTCAACCAAAAGACAAAACAAAGACAAATACTAACTTCACAGGGTTAAAGACTAAACAGTTTAGTAGTATTGACAGCAACCGAATGAATTTACTAAGCAATCTAAGTGAAATGGTTAATCTATTATTGAAATTACCAGTAAATTTATCATCAATTTAAACATGAAAAATCTAATAATAATACAAAAATTTCAAAATAAAAATAATTAAAAAAAAACTAACCATCGGTGGTTGATTTTCCATTTTTGACCGTGAATGGTTGTGAGAGTGGCTCTGAGAGATGGAGATACACGGATTTCGTCGGAGATGGGGACGGATTTCGTCGAAAATGGGGACGGATGTCGTCGTAGAGAGTGAGAGATGGAGATGTGACTGAGTTGTGATTTAGGGTTTTAGGTTATGATTTGCGATTATACTATTTACATTTGTGTTGCGAAATTAATATTGTGTTTCGAATTCAAAAATAAAATTCGCGTTACGAAAATAAACGCGCTTTGCGAATTACAAATTCACGTTGCGATTTACAGATTTGCGTTGCGATTTACAGATTCGCGTTGCGAATTTGAAAATCGTAATGCGAATTCGAAAAAGCGCAACACGATTTACATATTCGCGTTGCGAATTTGGAAATTGAGTTGCGAAATTGGAGTTCGCATTACGAATTTGTTGATCATTTTCGTAAATCCAAAAAAAATAATTAAAATCATATATTATAAGGTATTTTCGGTCATTAAATTATTTTCTCTTATCCATATATGGAGTGCGTGCATGAACCTACATGCATGCTTCACAACTGTAACTGACGGATATTGACAACACAATTTTAAAGTTACTTAAAACTTTTAAAAATTTAAATATCTCAATTTTTTTTTATAAGAAACGATTAATTTAAAATAACTCAAACAAATAATTCAAAATGACGTGATTTCGAGATATTTGACTCAAAATGATTTGATCGAACCACTTCAAACGCTGTTTGTGATGATGCTGAAAGGTCCATTCTACCTTTTTACCTGTGTTTTTGAATGAAGTCGAATGATCAATGGGCAAGTAAAGTATATAATATTGGTTATGAAATCTATGATGCTATAATATATTGTAAAGCTTGGAAAACAATTCTATGTGCTGCCGTAGACTTCACTTTCTGCATGCTTACATTTCCTGGAGGTGGAAATGGGCCTAATTCTATGGTAAAGTTGTACTTTTATTTATAAATTTGATCTAATTTAATTAAAATATAATTAAAACTCTTATACTAATTACCATATTTTCAAAAGTTTATATTAAAAAAATGAGAAAGAGAAAAAGAAGGGTAAAGAATTGATTGATTTTGGGAGCATCTAACTAATTAAATAAAGTTAAGCAATCTGCACTTTTCATCTGCTGAATAAAGTGGTGTTAGTTGCATTGCCTAGACTTTTAGAGACTCTAGGTCGTAGGTGACTTGATTATAGCCAAAGCAATTTTTCAAAGTCGGAGGAGTTATTCCCAGACTATATTTTTAATATTATCGGTATATTTATAGATTAATTTAAATTAAATTTTATAGATGTTTATATACTAGTGATTCTTCTAATTCAATTTACAATTTGAATAATTTATAATATGATTCGTTTATTGAAGAAATAAAATTGAGAGAAAATAAAAACATGTATTAGAAGTTGAGGTTCTTAGATCCAGTTCGCACATAATATCCTCCTATTCGTTTATTGAAGAAATAAAATTGAGAGAAAATAAAGACATGTATTAGATGCGGAGGTTCTTAGATCCGGTTCGCACATAATATCCTCCTATTCGTTTATCGAAGAAATAAAATTGTGAGAAAATAAAGACCTATATTAGATGCGGAGGTTCTTAGATCCAGTTCGCACATACTATTATTCGTTTATTGAAGAAATAAAATTGAGAGAAAATAAAGACCTGTATTAGATGTAGAGGTTCTTCGATCCAGTTCGTACATAATATCCTCCTATTCGTTTATTGTGCGATCGTTTTTGTTATTCTCTACGTAACATATAATCGGAATGAGTAATATGTTAGACTTTGTTATTCAATCGTTGATTTCGAAATTAACAGTTCTGCAATCTATATCATATGTAAGGAGTTAACAAAAGTCAATGATTTAATAATTTATACTAAATAAATTATCACAAACCAACTATTTAAGTTTATTTGTTTGCTCATAAAATGAAAAGATAAAATCTTGATAAATTAAAATAGAGAAATTCAATTATCAAATTTATTAAAGTAAAGGAATGAAATTTGTAAATAGACCAAATTGCTAAGCACCACGTTTAGAAGGGACCATATGCATAAAAAAGGTACAGAACATGCAGGCAAGTGTGAAAGTAAGTCTAATCCCTTTCGAAGCTTGCATGTGGCATTTTGCGGTTAGAATTGTTCGATGTAGCAAATCAAACAGGCTTTAAATCTCCATCATAATGTCTTATAATTCAAAAGTAGATTCTCTTGATGCATCTGGTCTGGTCTCCGGTGTAAGAGATACATCAAATCATCGACTGAAAGTAATTGGTTTGGTATATAATGAGCAAATCCTTCATGGTGATGATGATGATGATCATCGTGTTGTTGTCCCATGACCATTGGTTTGGTATGCTAGTGTCGTTCTTTTTTTATTGTTTTGCGATCGTTTAATCATCATTATCTGCAATAAAATCTCATACGAGAAGGTCCCTATTCGAATTTATAAAGGTATACCTTAGGGTCAAGAACCTGGACGGGCACACCTTAGGGTGAAGAATCCTTACAAAGTTGGACGACATCTGAGGAGGGCAATACTTGCAGCTAAAGATATAAAAAATGGTGTTGTTTGATGATCATTGGTTTGGTATGCTCATGTAATTCTTTCTTATTGTTTTTACCAATGTTATCCGTAACAAACTTTCATATGAGAAGGTCTCGATTTGAACCCAGAAAGGCACACCTTAGGGTGAAGAATCCTTGCAAAGTTGGTGGACATCTAATGAGGACAATACTTGCAGCTAGAGATATAAAAAGGGGAGAAACAGGAGGCTGCATTAACAGTAATCATGGAAGCACAACAGGATCGATCCCCCATATGTCCCTGGCATATTCATGTATTGTACGGTCACTGCTGAACTTGTACGATCCAGCTGTGTTCAATATCGACATTTTCGTCCATCTCTGTTAAAAATATATATATGAATGATGAGTCGAATTCGAGTCCGGATAGCATAAAACATGATAATTGGTATCACAAAGCCTATCTTGCATTCCAAGACAGTAAATGCTAGAGTTACCAAATGATACTCACCTTTTGGTCTCTGTATGCCTCATCAACCTTTTCTTGGCACTCGATGTAACTCGGAAAAATCTTTTCCAACGAGGAAATAATCAGCACGGCCGTAACCTTCATTTCCTTCCAAGGATCCCATCACTTCTTCATAGTTGTAGGGACCAAAAACACCGGTTCTTACGTATGTCTTCACTTCCTCAAACCTTGGGTCTGGCACAAACTGTTATAAGAGAAAAATATATAAGATTCTTTGTTATGCCACATTCTCATCTTGCAAAATAGAAAACTAAAGTAAAGGCTCACCTTTCCCTCAGCTCTTTGTTTCCTTAGCCCGGCGATTTCATGAGCCTCGGCACCGAAGAGGAAGAAGTTATCCTGTCCGACCTCTTGTCTTATTTCGACATTAGCTCCATCTAAGGTTCCGATTAGGATGCAACCATTCATCGCAAACTTCATGTTGCTGGTTCCACTAGCCTCCATTCCGGCCGTGCTAAGCAGTTGATTTGAAACAATGAGTTAGCCAGAGAGCAATATTAATCAACCTGCAGGGAACTTATTATGCATTGATTGTGTTTGTATGTTGTTCACCGTCATCGGAAGGATTCGAAAGTACGAATCCTTTTCCGAGCAGCTTCCGAGTTCAATCATTTGATGTTAGATACTTAGATTAAACACAACTACACATAGGAAGAGGAAAGGAGCCGACCTTATATGCTGAGACAACTCACTGCCGGGAATAAGCATTTCGGCCACACTTACATTGTAATCAGGAACAAACACAACCTGACATAAACACAAAGAACAAGATCATGGTTACAAACAAGGATCATTTCCAACATCAAGCAACCATAAAAGATCAGTTTTAAGTATGAACAGCAAATATGGCCGACAAAGAAACCGATTAACTCGGATCGGAAAAGAGTTCCCCATATATAATACCTTTAGAAGATCACCTATTTCAGGATCATGGTTCACAATATTCCCAACATCTGTGATGAACTTCACTATCCTTTTGGCTTGTACGTACGTGGCAAAAGCTTTTCCTCCAAACATGCATACTCGAGGAACAAAGCTTGCTATTCTTTCCTCATGGCTCATTTCTTTCATTTTCTTATACCGATAAACTATTCCCATGATGTTCAATAACTGCCTCTTGTATTCATGGATGCGCTTTATCTGCAATTACATCCATTAGGTGTACGGTTGGTTTATACTGTTGTATTCATTACTAGAACAATCCGCATTCGACACTTGTAGCTGCATATCACACATATTTAAACATGGATATAGGGATATGCAGATACAAAAGAGTGCAGAAAAAAATAATATTAACTAGGAGGAAATAACCTGCACATCAAACATTGAATCGGGATTGATGATGTAGCCGGTTTTTTCTCTGAGGAAAGATGCAACCTTGACCTTGTTTCTTCTCTTTGCTTCCCTCCATTCAGATTGAAGATCCTTGTTATCAGCAAACTGTGGACAATTCTCATCAGTCCTCAACTATATGAATGTAAACACTACTAATTGACTGAGAATATAGCAGGATCAAAGTGCATGGCTTTTCCCTTTGTAGCAGAAACTTTCATGTAAAGAAACTATATGAATTGGATGCTATAATTGATGTACTAAAGCATTCAATCAAGTTATTGTTCGGATATGCATACCTTACGAAGTGTTGCCAATTTCTCTGTATTTACAACCCAATCTTCTGATGCAGTCCACTTAGTTATAATTTTGCTCAAATCTGGATTGCAGAAGCGGATCCATCGTCTTGGTGTAACCCCATTTGTTTTGTTCTGAAATTTCTCAGGCCACAACTGCCAAAAGCAAAATATATGTATATCAGAAGTCCTAGAACAAAACCATTGGTTCAGTATGTCAAAATACAGTGAATGGAAGAGGAACATTTTGGATGGCAACCTGATAGAATTCATTGAAAACTTCATTTTTCACTATTTCACTATGAATCTCAGCAACACCATTCACTGCATAGCCACCGGCAACGCATAGGTTAGCCATTCGGATCATCTTGGGAAGTTTTGGATTCGGCTCAATAATCGGTGGCAGTGGCACCTCATTTATCTCCTCCATGTCCTCTTCCTCAAGTTGGTCCTCCTCGGCTGTAGGTTCGGTTTCTTCATCAGAAACATCATCCTCTTCAGTTGATTCAATGGCCTCAACTGAACTTTTTTCTGGTTTTACAAACAATTCAACTACTGACTCAGGCAATCAATGTTATCCAGAATTCTCATTTGTTTCAGTTTTTCTTGCAACAGATCCAGATCCTCCGTGCCGTACTCGGCAATAATGGTTTGAATAAGCTTATACAGAGAGTAAAAACAGATGTTAGATCATGTGGAAAAGAATAATTATGTGGAAAAGAATATGCATCTTAAAGAGGAGAATTTCACAAGATTGCCTATAAATTTACCTCCTCATCAATCATTCTAATGATCTCAACATGTCGAGGAAGCAATTCTTGCATCAGCTCCAGACTCCATTTCTCCAATGCCTCAGGTAGAACTGTATGGTTTGTGTATGCAACAGTTCTGGTGGAACAGATCACCATTAATATAAATACAATCTACTATAACCAGAATCCAATTTACTAGAGCAGTTCTTTCTCGATTTGTTATTTGTTTTCAAGGATGTAAAATTGATATTCGGAGCAGAATAACAATTTATAATATGCAAGTCCATGAGAGTAACTGAGTAAGTACCTCTGAGTGATATTCCAGGCTTGTCCCCAGTTCAAACCCTTGACATCAATCAATATTCGTATCATCTCCGGAATGCATAGTGTTGGGTGAGTATCATTCATCTGAACTGCAACCTTTTCAGGGAAATGTTCCCAATTTACAGACTCTCCTGATCTCCTTTCGTAACGTGCAATAATGTCTTGGAGAGAAGCTGAGCATAATGTATATTGCTGCTTCAGTCGAAGAGTCTTCCCCTCAAGTGATTCATCACCAGGGTATAATATGTAGCAAATCTAGTCATAATAAGAGATTATAGCATCATGTAAGAGTTAGAATGACTGTAACTTGGATGTCTCCCCTGCATCAACACGCGTATCGGGATTCAGTTGTCAGCCCACATATGTCTACATCGAAATTATCATCATCTTTGAAACCTGCCCTCAGAGCTGTCACTTAAATGTGAGCTCCCTTTGATTCAGATTAAGAACATCTCCTTAAGAGGCCAGGTGACAAAGCCTTAAAAGAGCCTGCTGGTTTCCAAAGAAGACAATTTGTTTAATATAAGAATATCCAGGGTCACAACCAAATCTCGATACGTACAGTGATGCAAACCAGACTTCAGAATCTCCACGACTACGACAACTTCTCAGCTTTGAAGTGCATCAAAAGAATGCATGAAAGGGCTTAGATATTGTTTTGTAAGGTTTTTAAAAACTAATATGGAAAATAATGGTCTAATTGAACTCCAAATGAATGTGAATTCAAACCTTTTCAGCATTCTTCATTGCTAAATAAGCTTTGGCATGATCTCCAGCATTGAAAGCACTTAAATCAAACTTTTCTGGTGCAACTTTAGTAGACCACAGCCGGAGGTTAATCGTAGTTTTAGTTCTATATCCAGGAATTGGGACATCATAAGCAACAGCGGTTATATCTTCTCCTCCAACCCATTCTTTAGTTCCTTCTGGGCCTGAAATGACTTCACCGTAGAATTTTACAGGGTATGACACATCATTTCTCATAAGTTCCCATGGATTTCCCATCTGCAATAATAACCAAGAAATGATGATTAACGTTCATTCAGTCCTTGAGCATTCAGTCTTATCACTAAGAAAACAAGAAAATGACCTACTGAGACCCGTATCGGACTTGTGTAAAACAGTACCTCGAGCCAATTTTCTGCAACTTCCTCCTGACCATCTTTCGTGATATGCTGCTTGAATAATCCATACTTGTACCTAAGTCCATATCCCCAAGCAGGGTAATTTAATGTTGCTAAAGAGTCCAAAAAGCAAGAAGCTAAACGTCCAAGGCCGCCATTTCCAAGTGCAGCATCTGGTTCCTGTTCAGCAATAAATTGAAATTTTCAGTAACTTAAATAAAGAAAAAATGTGCAAATCTTGATGAATTTCCCATTTTAAGCAAGGTAATTACGCTATAAATATAAGCATTTTTAGAATCATGTAAGGATTTAACCTCCCTAGCTATATCTTCTAAATTGTGCCCCAGTTTCTTCAAAGCTTCTGCATAAGCTCCTGTAAGCTCTAAATTACCAATGACATTCAACAAAGCTCTACCCTGCATCAAATAGAGACTGAGAACATTCAAAAGAAATTTGGCAAAGTAAATTTGTTTCCAAAAAGCACATCATTAGCATGAAAAAGTACATAAATTTAATGTCAAATTAACCTGTAGATACTCCATAGAAAGATAATATGCTTGCTTTACATTTATCTTCTCATAGTAATCATAAGTAGCATTCCAGTTTATAATAAGAGAATCGCGAATACTTTGTGCCGTTGCATAGAACGCCTTGGGGAGCTCGAAACGGTCCGGAGAGAAAGACGGTGTGAACTCGGCGTGGTATTTGATACTCGATGCAATGGATGCAGAATAAGGAGCAAAGGTATCTAAAGAGGCTGCATATCACAGAAAAATATAAAATGAATGAATCAAATGACCAAAAAAAAAGATCAACAGTTCATCATGTTCAACTACTATGAAATTTGCAGCAAGTTGTTAAAAAAAGTGGAAGTTACCTTCTCCAGTGACTTGAGCTTCATCTTTGAGGTCCTGCTTTTGGTCACTGGCAACACTTTTAACAGAAATTTTTCTCCTCAAGAAAGTGAAATTTGAGCCTTGTCTGATGAAGAAAAAGTTTGGGTTTTTTGCTTTATAGTTAAAACTAACGAAAGTGGAGTGAAAACTGGTTGCAGAGAAAGGTAGAGACGCCATTATTGTTGGTTTCACTACCCTTTCTCTTCAGTTTTTGAAAGAGTAGGAGACTATCTCTGTGTGTGTATGTGATAATAATAAAAGAAAGAGAAACGAAATGAGTGGAAAGAAAGAGTGTTGCTTTTGTCGTCTTATCTTCAAACTTGTTGCTTCTTCTTCTTAGTCTCATGTTATACACGAGGGAAATTTTGAAACTATATAAGATTATCCACGATTATATGTTATTGCTGTGAATAAATTAATGGACAAATGAGGACCATTAATGGAGATTATAAGCATGCTTAAAATCAGATATTTTCTGACAAAAACTAATGTTGTGTTGAGATTACGCAAAAAAGCAGGAGATTCTGATCACATGGAGTAGTTGAAGAGGGGACCATCTCAACTGGAGGCTAAGACTTGTCCTATTGTAAGATATTTTGCAGAAAAAGGGGGGGGGGAAGGAAGAAAGGATGTGATAGCTGCTTAAGAGAAACTCTCTGTTCTTAGTCATTTTGTTTTCTTAGTTAGGTCTCTTATTCATTTCAACAAAGATAAAAACACAATCGATCAATTGAACATTAACTCGGTTGATATTATTATTATCACAATGTGACGTTGAACATAATTTTTTACTAAAATTAGAAAGCAAAAAAACAGTATAATGCTTTTCTCAAAATGGGAAAATCCAACAGAAATTCAAACACCAACGGTTTAAAACAAAGAGATTTCCTACAGTTTTGGAGATTATTGCGAGGGGGGAAAGGATTGCTCTGTTTTTCTCCGGGACGCCTACCATTTGTTTGATCGAAGATGGAGCAGATTACAAATAAATGGTAATTCAAAGTTAACAAAAATGAAATTCTCACACTAACACTCATCCATTTCCAAATAATTCCTTACACAAAAACCCTTTTTTTGTTGGTTTGTTGGGTTTGTGTGTATATTTTGTTTTACTCTCCATTTTTTGTCCAATTCCAAGTTTTTCTCAGGTACCCTTTTGTTTAATCTGCTTGTATTTGTGTTTTTTGTTGATCCCGTTGCTTTGAATGTGATGAGTGGTTCATAGTTGAATTCTGGGTGAACGAAAGACATTCCTTGAAGTTATTAATCTTTGTTTTCCTTTTTTTTATGAAACAATTGCTTGTTTATTTCAGGTACCATTTGTTGAATAAATAACTGAACAGACAAATTTCGGGCTTGACAAAATGTTTGGGTTTATGAAATCTAAGCAAAAGCCGGCTGATGGTGAGGACAACCAGGACACAATGTCACCTGCTACGAGGACTTCCTCTGGTCCTTTGCTGTTGGCAGATTCCATGGAAGAGGACACTGCCAAGGGAAAGAAAAAGCAAAGTTCGGCATCCAGTAGGCCATCACCGGCAAAGAATCGCAATAAATACAAGGACGATTTCCGTGACTCAGGCGGGCTACAAGCCCAGACCACCGAAGATCTCGAAGGTTACGCCGTCTACAAGGCCGAGGGGACAACGAGTACTGTCAATAACTGCTTGAAGATTGCTGAGAACATCCGAGAGGATGCTTCAAAGACTCTTGATACTTTGCACCAGCAAGGAGAGCAAATCGAAAGGACTCATCAAATGGTTGTTGGCATGGATAAGGATTTGAGTAAGGTAAGCTCGATCTATGTAGCATGTCTTTTGCACGATATTCCGTGTTGTTAGCTCCACGGCTTTCCCGATATAATCTCTTTGGTAGGGAATTGTATTCTCTGTCATTACTATGGACTGAAGTGTTAATAATCGAAACCGGTATATGCAATATTCTTGTGGTGTTTTGGACCATATAATGTTATTTGATTTCCTTGTACAAGAAGGCAACTTCTTTGCAGCTCTCATTCTCCTACTTAGAGTTCACGTTTCCAATATCAGGGTGAGAAGCTTTTGAATAATCTAGGCGGTGTGTTTTCTATGCCCTGGAAACCGAAGAAGACTCATGATATTACTGGTCCTGTGATCACCGCAGGTTTAAACTTCTCACATCTCTTCAATGCATTGATTTATTCGAATACTTTGCATTCAGCATTGAATTGTGGTATGATTGGAATGTTCATTGCATTGGTTTGGTAGATGATCACAAGAAAGACAAGGGCCGGAAGGAGCAGAGAGAAAAGCTGGGTCTGGCTCCTGCACCTAAGAAGGGTGGAAGTAAGACTACTTCGGAACCAGAACCGACCGATGCCATGCAGAAAGTAGAGGTAAGTATCATGACATGCCTGCAAATTTTAGTAAAATTCGACGACTGTGCTAGGATTAATCCATTGTCTAACTCCAGCTCGAGAAGAGAAAGCAAGATGATGCACTTTCGGATTTAAGTGATATCTTGGGTGATCTAAAGGGCATGGCTGTTGACATGGGAACTGAACTTGATAGGTCTGTTATCTTCACTTTTGTCACGTTGGCTTTACGCTACTCGAAAAATCTTCATTTCTCATATTATTATTACATGAAATTGGTGATTGCAGACAAAACAAAGCTCTTGATCATCTAGCTGATGATGTGGATGAACTGAATAACCGAGTGAAAGGTGCCAATCAACGTGCCAAAAAATTGCTCAACTAAAAACAGTTACAGAGCTTACCAAATTTACTTTCACATACCTGTCTGTATTACAGATGTTTTAACATTTCCCTTTCGTCACTCTTTTCCTGACCATTTGAGGGTGAAGATTTTGCCGGTTACTTTCTCGTATATGAATCACTGAATGGTGATTAAACTTGTATTAAATAGTAATGATTTCTTCCCCCATCCGACACAAACATTTGTCGTCACCGATTTACTCGATTGGTTTTATGTGGAACAAAACGAGTTTTTGCTTTTCCATTTCTTTCAAATATAATGCTTTACTTCAGAACCATGAAAGATTGTAAACTATGGAGGTTTAGAGATACATCAAGCCACATACCCTGTAAATAGCATGAAAGCACCATAATGGCATTGCAAATAGGTTTAAAATTTGAAGCGAACTGTGCATCTTTAGCTCTTCATGCCTCCGGTGTTTTCACCAAAGTCCAGTCCCTTCCCGGTCTCCAAGCATGTGAAACAAAACCAAGAACATAGCCGACAAAACCCCCGAGCACCAAGACACTGCCACCCCAGAGATAGTGTGAAAATGAGTAATGTGTCACGTCAACCTTATGGAATGCACCAACTTTACCACTGTTGACATCACCGCCATTAAGAACTTCCCCGGATGCCAAAATCTCAACCATATCATGCACCTCACCATCATGGTTTCCTACGAATGAAAGTCTAAGTTTCTCTCTTGTAGCAACTAATCTAGTGTACCCAAACTCACCTGTACGGTACACAGATCTCTTGGGTTGTGGGAAGACCGGGTCGTCTGGATGGTCTGCTCTAGGTTCCCATTTTGGTTGCCAGTCTTGTCCTCCCATCCCGATCACAACATGAACCGGTAATGCTTCCCAATCTTCCCCCTTCTGTCCTAAGCTTCCACATGTGAAGTTCCTCATCGGACAAAACCTCTCGTACCGATGGACATGGCCCCACAATGCAAGGGTTACCTTGTTTTTCACAAACAAAGGTTCCAAGTGCTCAAGCATTCTCTCTCTCAATGGGGCATCTTTACTTGCAAAGCTTGTAGTGTACATCGGTCTATGCCCTTGAAATACGACAAAAGGTGTCTTCATCTGATCAACGGACTCAAGATCATGCTTCAAAAAGTTATATTGGTTGCTTCCTGGAAGGAAATTGGTTTCAGTTGACATGTACACAAAATGAACCGGCCCTATATCAAGTGAGTAGTAAAGGTTTCGGGTAGCTGGAGCACGGGTTCCAGTTGGTTCTGAAGAGCTTCCGGGCATATTGAATCTAAGGCTGTAGGGAACACCACATTCACCACCTCCATCAGTTCCATAAATGGAATTGGCCCACTCAGGCTTCCAAGGCTGTGAAGGCCAATCATATTCATGGTTACCAATGCACACATGATACGGCACCTTGGAGGCAACGGGCTCGATTAGGTTGAAAAATTCATCCCACAACCATGAGTAGCCTCTTGCATAGCCGATATCCCCGATATGGGAAATAAAAGCAGGCTCGTCTCCGAGAGCTTCAATGTCACGCAGTATCCACTTCACAGTCGATATGCTTTCGTCTTGTGTACGACTAAAGGTTAAGTACGGTGTAGCAGTCCCCATATCACCAAATAGAAAGGCTACCGTTTCGTTCGAATTTTTGTCCGATGACACAAAGCTCCGTGTCGTGCTCCAACCTTTAGACTCGCTTCCAACCTTGTAGAATGAGAAAAGCAAAGGTAAATTAAGTATTGAAGTTGAGTTGAGAGTACGCCATGCCTTAAGGACACTTCAACACTTTTCCTTAGTCCTAACATGTAACAAGGATACAACAAGTACGTGAAACTAACATGATAAAACTATATGAACCACACAAATAACATGTACATATGAAATAAATCGAATTGGAAAATTTATTCAACTGTCAAAATTTCAGTGATCATTTTATAATGGTTCGATAAATTTAATGATCATTTTGTAACTTTTGAAAGTGAAGTGGCTGAAACAATCATTTTACTATAGTTTAGTGACCTCTTGTGTATTAGCGCTTTAAGTTGAAATCTAGTTCTAGTTCAACATTTCCAAATTTAGCAACAAAGATATGCCTACATTACCTGATAATAGTATTTCACCCCACCCTTTAAACCCGAAACAACTGCGTCAAATATCCAACCGGGATCCCTCCACCCGACGCTCGCATTCGCCGGCGCGTGACACATGTCCTCCCTCTCATACCTCCTGGTACGCGCCACCGCCACGTCACTTCCCCACTCCCATTCCTTCTCCCCGTACCTCACGTACCTCTCATCTGAATCCTCCGCAACGAACATCACCCGCATCTGTCCATCCCTACCAGTCAACGCCAAGTGGATCTGCTCCGGTCCATGACCCGATTCGAAGCCCACCGCCTCGGATTCCGCCAATAAATGTTTGGTTCCGGGGAGGGGATTATGATCCTGGTCGTGGAACCCCGGGTCGATCTCGGATTCGATCCAGCGGAAGATCCGGAAGGTGTAGTTAGAGCGGAGAGAGGTGAGGGGAAGGGAAATGGAGCCCGACCCAGATTCCCAAGTGGAGGAAGACGAAAGGAACTTATAGCCGATGAAGTTGTCGTGGGATGAATCGGGGGGTGAGTAGAGTCCGAGCCAATCGAGTTTCGATGGTGAGTCGATGCCGGACCATTGGATGAGAACCGAATCACCGGATTTGGACAGGGTTTTCGGGTTGACTGTGAGGGTGGGATTGGATAGGAATTGAGAGATAAGGGAAAGGAAGAAGAAGGAGAAAACCAGGATTAATTCCATGGTGGATAATCACGTTAAGGATTGCTGTAAAAAGGAAGAAAAATTATAAAGTTCAAAAGTATGGGCGTTAAAGGATTAGGTATAGTTTCAAGTTGAAGATATTCTAATATTTACGTGGCATGCTCCATGTGTTTCCCAATAGTACAAGTAAACAAAACGATATATAATAGGATAAACTATATGTTTAATATTTAAATTATTATTATTATTTTATTTTGATACTTTAATTTTATTTTTTTAAATTATATGTAATGGTAAGTTTATGTTTCTATTTAGTATCTTATTATTATAAAATTAACAGAACTATATACATGATATTTTTTTATTTCTCAATAATGATGTAACATTATTTTATGATAATACACTAACATCTCCGTGCGAATGTGAGCTTTAAATGTTAAAATCTAAATTCGACTCATATTTAAACAAACCTATTTTTCTATTCAAATCCTTTTTGGTTTTAATATTTTTGTTCAAACCCTCTTAATTTTTATTTCAAATTTAGGTGAACCAAAAACTCACCCCATTGTGACCTCTAGTTCGCCCTCAATATATATATATATATATATGAAATAGTTTGAGATAAATTATAATATAATATATATTTAATCATTAATAATATTATATATAATAAATTTACACATATCATATTTTGTATATATAAAAACTACTGACGGCATGCAACATGTTCTTATTAGACATGGGTAAATGGTAATTTTGAGAGTAGAATCAGACGTAAAAGATAAATAAAGTACCGAACAGAGATTAAAAATAGATATCAAAATGAAGAAGAAGAAGAAGAAGAAGAAAAGTATAATTCAAGGCTCAAAATATGCATTAAGCCTTTTTTTTATTAAAGGATTCTTCCAATAAGGAATGAGTCACTTTATTTCTTTAGGTATCAGAAGCTTTGCATATCAAAATAGGAATAAATCAAGAGAAAATAATCTCAATGATCGAAAATGCATTATAATATACGATTTTGACCAACTCTTTTTGGATTTGTCAAGATGACCAAGTTCGCGTTGCGATTTTTCAAATTCGTTGCGATAGTCCAAGTTCACGTTGCGATAGTCCAAGTTCGCGTTGCGATTTACATATTCGCATTGCGATAGTCGAAGTTCGCGATAGTCCAAAATCGCAACGACTGGGGTATTGCATTTGTTTCTTAAGAATTTTCTCTAAAAAGATAGTATTCGCGCGGACGTGTCGAAGACACGTATTACCACGACCCGAGACGAGACGGCGGCGGCGCGCAAAGAGTCCCCCTTGTTCTCTATCACTCAACAAGGAAGTAGGAAAACCAAGCCTTAAATACCATTCCCAATAGTGTTTCCAATACTATGTGGGATTGAACATTACCAACACTTGTTCCCAATATTATGTGAGATTGAGCTTTAAATAGTGATATTATTTGTGAATTATAGTTAATGACTTTAGTATTTGTATGAAAAGTATTTGTGGTTCGTTTAGTTTTCATGCAATTTTAATTTATTTTCAATTGATTGTAATTGCACGATAACAATTTTTTTTATTCTCGCGAGTGATGCAATTTTTTTTGAATGTTTTGCTTAAAATTACGATAATCAGAACATGACTTTTAGTTTTCATGTTTTTTGTGCCCACAATTACAATTATAAGAGATTTTTTAATTACATTATATATCAAATTATGTGATTGTAGATTGACTTTTAATTATGACATATTTAATCGTATAATACTAATGCAATTGGTTGCTGATTCAGTTGTTTTAATGTGCATGATTGTTAATTGTTTCTTGAATAATCACATAGTATTGGAAACAAGTATTGGTAATGCTCAATCCCACATAGTATTGGAAACACTATTGAGAATGGTATTTAAGGCTTGGCTTTCTCACTTCCTTGTTGAGTGATAGAGAACAAGGGGGACTCTCGCGCGCCGTCGCCGTTGCCGTCCGTCTCGTCTCGTGGTCGTGGTCATACGTGTCTTCGACACATCCGCGCGAATACTATTTTTTTAGAGAAAATTCGTAAGAAACAAATGCAATACCACCAGTCGTTGCGATTTTGGGCAACGCGAATTTCGACTATCGCAATGCGAATATGTAAATCGCAACGTGAATTTGAAAAATCGCAACGCGAACTTTGACTATCGCAATGCGAATATGTAAATCACAACGTGAACTTGGACTATCGCAACGCGAACTCCGACTATCGCAATGCGAATATGTAAATCGCAACGCGAATTTGGAAAATCGCAATGCGATAGTCGAAGTTCGCGTTGCGAATCTGGAAACTGATTTGCGATACTGGATATCGTGTTGCGAATTAGAGATCGCATTGCGATTTTGTTGGTCATTTTGACAAATCCAAAAAAAATTGGTCAAAATCGTATATTACAATGCATTTTCGATCACTGAGATTATTTTCTCATAAACCAAATGTTATCTTCTCAAACCTCTAGCCTTCCGGGACAAGAAACCTTTTTCTTAAAAATGCTTATAACATCAAATTATTCATATGTATAGTATGTATAAACATTAATTAACATTTAAAATCAAAAGGATTAAGAGAAATAATACGTTTCTTAAGAATATCAAACCAAGCTTTGCATGCAAAGCATATTTATCCAAAGCTTGTCTTCTTCCCATGTCTAAATTGCCTGAATTATATAACCTTTTAAAGCAAAGCAGGCCGCGAAATACGTCTGAGATTTCTTCGGAGAAAGTCATCTGAAACAATGGAGAATTTGTTGAAGCAGACGAGGTAAATTCTATTTTCCTTTTCGATAGTTCGTTTCCATGCACTGTGACCTTTAGGAATCTGCAGATGAACTTTGTAAAAGAAAATTAAAACTATAAATGTTCAGGTAACTTACCATTCGGTGTGTATAAGATTTTGAAATCGTTAGGAATCTGCTTCCATTTGACTGATCATTTGCACCAGGGGGAGATTTTCCGGTGCCGGACAGGACAAAACAGAAGAGTCGATCAGAAACCAAAGGATACCACCACAAAAAACTCAATCTTTCAAACGAGGTAAAAGTAACACTGATTTTCCGCAGCTATTTTTCTAACCTGAAGATGAACTACTTTAGATTATGTTCCTTCTGCATCATTGTTTTAAGATGGAAAGATGTACAAGTGGGAGCAACGATGACCGGCCTTGATTTTGGATTTTGCAGAGAAGAGAACCCAGAACTGGTTTCGAAGACCATTTTCGGGCAAGACGATGAGTTCGAATGATGATTCAGACCATAAACCGGAGCAAGTACTTGCAGTTGCAGCTGCTACATATGTCATTAACTCAATTGCAAAACCAAGCATCCAAGATCAGAAAAAGAGCAGTTCAGGTCTTGAACCCTCGTTGATCAGAGATAAGAGCAGAAAGGAAGATAAGTCATCTTCAATATCGGAAGCTGGCACTATATACGAACGATTCTCAGGTAAAGATCCAAAGCATGAGAAACTGAATCCTGATATCCATGTTTTAAGAGAATCATGAACTTCTAGTTTCTGCTACTGCTTAACCAAATGAAATTAACAGGTGTGGATGTTAGGAAAATAAATCGAGTACAAGTAATTTCCCTATAACCATATTAGTGAGAATGCGAAATAAAAGCGGAAAAATAATACCGAAAATTGATAACGGAGTTCAGCCAATTGTGCTTACGTCTCCGGGCTGCTGCAGATCTTTTACTAAGAGAGAAAATTTACAGGTGTTTACAAAACACTCACTACTCACAAGAAAGCTCTCTAGTATAGGAAGAAAGAAATGTTTTTGGGATGATTTTGAAGCTAAATGGGTAAGGGTATTTATAGTAGAAACTTAAGGACTAATCTTTGAAAATACCCTAAAGTGCAATGACTAAAGTGAATTTACCTATTCCTATTTTCAACAAACATCTACTAAAATTTTACCAAACTTTGAAAAACATTTTTCAAAGAAACATTTACCAAACTTTGAAAAAATATTTTCCAAAGTTGGTTGCCAAACTTTGAAACTTTTAACAATCTCCCACTTGAAGACTGATTTTAATATGTCTTCACACCTTGATCAATGCAGCAGCATGTCTGGTCTTGTTATTCTAGCATGCCAACTGAAGCTGAACACAACTTCAGTTTGTCCGTAGTCACCGTCTTTGTCAACATGTCTGCCGGATTTTGAGCTCCACTAATCTTTTCAAGTTTCAAAATCCCATCTTCCAGAAGAGACCGGATAAAATGATATCTCAATTGTATGTATTTCGTCCTAGAATGAAAAGACGGATTCTTTGCTAGATGGATAGCACTTTGACTGTCGCAATACAAGACATTGTTTTCTTGTTTCTTGCCTAACTCTTCCAAGAAACTTTGGAGCCAAACCATCTCCTTGCTGGCTTCCGTAACAGCGACATATTCTGCTTCAGTTGTGGAGAGAGCAACTATCTTCTGCAGTTGAGAAACCCAACTCACTGCGGTTCCTCCTAGAGTATAGACATACCCTGTAGTGCTTCTTCTGATGTCGACATTTCCGACTAAGTCAGCATCTACATAGCCTGTCAATATCGTATCTCCACCTTTGAAACAAAGTGCTTTGTTTGTGGTACCCCGCAGATATCTGAGGATCCATTTGACTGCTTCCCAGTGTACCTTGCCTGGATTATTCATGTACCTGCTAACAGCTCCCACTGCTTGAGCAATATCTGGTCTGGTACAAACCATGGCATACATTAGACTTCCAATTACTGAGGCATACGACACCTTCACCATGTGTGCACGTTCTTCCTCCGTCTTTGGTGACTGTTCTTTGGAGAGTTTAAAATGAACACCTAAAGGTGTACTTACTGGTTTAGCATCTTGCATGTTGAACCTGGAGAGTACTTTGTTGATGTATTCAGCCTGTGATAACATCAAAGTCCCCGACTTTGTGTCTCTCTTGATCCTCATCCCAAGAATCTGCTTTGCAGCGCCCAGATCCTTCATAGCAAACTCCTTCGACAATTTTTGCTTCAAGTTTATAATCTCTTGCATATCTGAGCCTGCAACGAGCATGTCATCAACGTACAATAATAAAATAATGAAGCTGTTGTCGAACCTCTTGATGTAGCAACAATGATCTGCTTGGCATCTTGTAAAACCACTGCTACTTATGAAACTATCAAACTTCTTGTACCACTGTCTAAGAGCTTGTTTTAAACCATACAAGCTCTTCTTCAACCTGCATACCAGGTTTTTCTTGCTTGCCTCTATGAAACCTTCTGGCTGCCTCATATAGATTTTTTTCCTCCAAATCACCATGAAGGAAAGCTGTCTTTACATCTAACTGCTCAAGATGTAAATTCTCTGCAGCTACAATTTTCAACACCAGTCTGATTGTAGACAGTTTTACGACTGGAGAGAAAATTTCATTATAGTCAATACATTCTTTTTGCTGAAAGCCTTTGACAACCAATCTTGCTTTGTAGCATTTTCTCCCATCGTGCTCTTCTTTGATCCTGTAAATCCACTTGTTATGGAGCGCTTTCTTGCCTGGTGGTAATTCAGCTAATTCCCACGTCTGATTTGACATTAGCGAGTCCATCTCATCTTTCATGGAAGACTCCCACTTGACTGAATCATCCACCTGCATCGCTTCATCATAGCACTCTGGTTCACCATTGTCAGTCAACAATAAGTAGTGCAAAGAAGGCGAATACCGTTGGTTGGTTTAGGAATTCTGGAGGAGCGTCTCAGTTCTGGTGTGCCTGGTTCTTCCTCTTGAACTGCTTCAGGACTGATCTGAACATCATTTCCAGAAATCTCCTCGAACTCAGCAAATTCCTTTGTTTCAGCTTCGGTATTACTTGATTCTGCGGTTGACCTGTCTTTGTACATCACATTTTCATTGAAAATGACGTCTCTGCTTCTGATGATCTTTCGATTTTCGTAGTCCCAAAACCGGTAACCGAACTCATCACCACCGTAACCAACAAAGACGCATTTGTTGGACTTGGCATCGAGTTTACTTCTTTCAGCAGAGTTTATGTGTACATAAGAAATACAACCAAACACTCTTAAGTGTGAAAGGTTTATTTCTTTCTTGCTCCAAGCTTCCTCTGGTATTCCGCCATCCAAAGGAACTGAGGGCCCACGGTTGATCAGGTAAGCTGCAGTGTTGATAGCTTCAGCCCATAGAAATTTGGGCAATCCGGCATGTATCCTCATGCTTCTGGCACGTTCATTCAGAGTTCTGTTCATGCGCTCTGCTACGCCATTCTGCTGCGGTGTTATGGGAACTGTTGTCTCCATCTTGATCCCATTGTTTGCGCATAAATCTCTGAATCTACTGTCTCTGTATTCTCCTCCATTGTCAGACCTCAACCGCTTGACTTTCAAACCAGTCTCATTTTCCACCATGGCCTTCCATTTTCTGAAGGTATCAAAGACTTCTGATTTCTTCTTCAGAAAATAAACCCACACCTTCCTTGTTGAATCATCGATGAAGGTGACATAATATAGTGAGCCTGCAAGAGATGGAACTGGGGATGGTCCCCATACATCAGTATGAACCAACTCTAACCTTTCTGCCTTGGGTGTCTTGCCAATCTTTGCAAAACTGACTTTCTTTTGTTTGCCAAAGATGCAATCCTCGCATAGTCCGACATCTACATTCTTTAGATCCGGCAGCTTCCCTTTTGACAGAAGTATCTTCATTCCTTTCTCGCTCATATGGCCAAGCCTTTGGTGCCATAGGTTTGATTTTCCATCAGCATCTGCTACTGCAATGGTATTCTCTAAATTTGAGGTTACATAGAGAGTACCAGTCTTCTTACCACAAGCAATGACGAGTGCTCCTTTGGTAATCTTCCATTCACAGCCTGAAAAGGTTGTGCTATATCCTTCTCCATCAAGCTGTCCAACAGAAATCAGATTTCTTTTGAGGCCAGAATATGTCTCACTCCTGTCAGCTTCCAGGTGGTCTGGTTTGGCAACTTTAGTCGGATGTCTCCTTTTTCGACGATCTTTAAGGTTTCATCATCAGCAAGATGAACCTTCCCAAAATCACCACTGACATAGTTCTCCATGATTTCTTGGTATGGGGTGGAGTGGAAAGATGCCCCTGAATCCAAGATCCATGATTCAATCGGACTGTTGACGCTTAGAATCATGGCATCACATGTCTCCTCTGTCACGTTGGCAGATTCCTGTGCACCGGTATCTTTCTTCAGTGCTCGGCAATCTCTTTTGAAGTGACCATTCTTGCCGCAATTATAACAGGTAAAATCTTTATTTCCTGTTCTTGATTTGCCCATTCTGGATTTTGATCTGCCACGATTTGAATTTCTTTCTGAAGTTCTCCCTCTAGACTCCGTGTGCAAGGCTGAGGAGGTTGATGCTTCACCCGATTCTCTTCGTCGAATTTCTTCACTCAATACCAAATCCCGAACATTATCGAATTTTAATTTGTTGTTTCCCGACGAACTGCTGACTGCTGTAACAGTAGCATTCCAACTGTCTGGTAGAGATGATAAGAGAATTAAAGCTCGAACTTCATCATCGAACTCAATTTCCACTGAACTCAACTGGGTTGTGACTGTGTTGAGTTCATTTAGGTGTTGTGCCATTGATGCCCCTTCCGCCATCCGCAAATTGAATAATCGCCTCATCAAATGAACTTTGTTTGAGGCGATGGCTTCTCGTACATACTGGAGAGAGCCGCCATAAGACCCGCCGTGGTCTTTTCCTTTGCTATGTTAAAAGCAACATTACGGGATAACGTCAGTCGGATAACTCCGAGGGCTTGTCTGTCGAGAAGAGCCCAATCTTCATCCTTCATGCCTTCTGGTTGCTTTCCTGAGAGAGGTTGATATAGATTTTTCTGGTACAACAAATCTTCAATCTGCATCTTCCAAAAGCCAAAGTCCGCACTATCGAACTTTTCAATTTTCACATTCCATTCGTCTGCAGCCATCGCTCCCACTCGAATCTGGCTTCGTTTGGATCGTTTCTGACAATTCTTGCGAATCACCGTGTATTAGAACACCACCGTCGACAAACTCGTATCGCCGACCGAATTTTACTATTCACAAATTACTATTCACGTGAATAGTAATGAATAGTGACCTCGCAGAAAATTTAACAAAATTCACAACCAAAAGCTCTGATACCAGTTGTTAGGAAAATAAATCGAGTACAAGTAATTTTCCTATAACCAGATTAGTGAGAATGCGAAATAAAAGCGGAAAAATAATACCCAAAAATTGATAACAGAGTTCAGCCAATTGTGCTTACGTCTCCGGGCTGTTGCAGATCTTTTACTAAGAGAGAAAATTTACAGGTGTTTACAAAACACTCACTACTCACAAGAAAGCTCTCTAGTATAGGAAGAAAAAAATGTTTTTGGGATGATTTTGAAGCTAAATGGGTAAGGGTATTTATAGTAGAAATTTAAAGACTAATCTTTGAAAATACCCTAAAGTGCAATGACTAAAGTGAATTTACTCATTCCTATTTTCAACAAACATCTACCAAAATTTTATCAAA